ACGGACTTTGGTTAGGGTTAGTGGGTTCGAGGATTGCTTGAGAAGGAACTTTAAACGAGTAACCAACTCTTTTCTTTTTCTCTTTAGTTTATTATATAAACAACAAATAAATGGGCTTAAACGAGTAACAAGATTTTAAGTCGGTTTGGCCCAAATATATATATATGTTAAGCAATCCAACGGTCCATAACTAATTTCAGGAGATATACCCTTTTTTTTAACGGTTGAGATTTTTAGTGTTGGAAGCTGAAAAGATTTGTTTTTGCTTCAGAATTAAGTCCCTGCGTCCAATAACTTAATCGAGTAATAATCGTATCCGGACCAAATTGGGAAACACAGTACAACAGATTGGATAATAAGAGATGACCAAAATCACTACTAGGCTTATTGGTTGCAGCTTCATCGATCCTAATCCATTCCATAATGCATAACTGTGGCTGCACTTGGTGCCACAGTAAACTTGAAGCTCAAGCTCATTCATTGCCCATCTGAGTGTGCTTTCATCTATAATCAAAACTGAAAGGTCAGTCTATCGGAATTTTTGATGGATCTGTTTCGCACAACACACGCCTACACAATGAAATTCATAGGTAGTCAGGTATTACCTAAGAAGCAATGGCCTTCTCCACTTGATCATTCTCCAAGTCTTGATACAGACTGAAGCAGAATTACAACACTTCCTAGGTCAACAAAGGAGATCACTCTTTCTTAACTTAAGAATGCTAAATGTTTAAACTTCTCTTTACTGAATGACTCATTCTTGTATGAGCTTTGAAATCATAGCAGAGAAAATTATTGTAAATTTTCATAGAGCAATACCTGCATCTACTATAGGAATAAACCAATAGACCTCTCTGTGACTTCAACTTATCGAGCTTCCCTCTATTAATCTCACCTCCAACAATGTCTCTTTCAGCCAACTTGTGAGAACACCAGAATTCCATTGAATGATTAGCTACCAAGAATACTCAAGATGGAGAGGATCAGATGTTTCAGAATTAAGAGCCTCAAACAAATGAATTAATTAACATCAACCCAGCTATAACCCGGGGTTTTGTGAAGCCCTCTTTTCTTCTGTGTCATTCTAATATTCGCTGCATCATTCCATCTCTCAGCAGCTGAATAGGTGTTGGATAGAGTAACTAAGCTTTCTGTTGTTCCTCCTTCATCTCCAAGACTCTGAATCTTTTTTGACACTTCATCGCCAAGTTCCACATTATTGTACGTCCAACAAGCAGAGAGAAGTGTACCTAACACACGAATGTCAGGATCAAATGGCATCTTGTTGACAAAATCGTAAGCTTCTTCCAAGTATCCGCCACGGGCTAGGAGATCAGTCATGCAATTATAATGGTCTCTTCTTGGGATAACGTTGAAATCTCCTTGAAACATGGAGTTGAACACTTGTTTCCCTTTATCCACAAGTCCTGAATGACTACAAGCAGACAAAAGAGCAAGAAAAGTCACCTCGTCTGGGTTCACACCTATGTCCTGCATACTGTCAAATAGAGAAAGAGCTTCTTTGCCAAGCCCATGAATTCCAAATCCAAACATCATTGTGTTCCATGAAACTATGTCCCGCTTATGCATTATCTCGAAAACTCTCTTGGCTGCATCAACTTTTCCGCACTTTGTGTACATATCCATCAGTGCATTACAAATGCTTGTATTAATTGCATAGCCATGAACAACAGAATACCCGTGGCAGCTATAACCGTGTCCTAAAGCAGCCAAGTGAGAACAAGCAGTTAAAATACCAAGCAATGTTGTTATATCTGGCCTAATTCCCGATGATTTCATCTCTTGAAATAGACGTAAACTCTCTTCTGCGCGACAGTTCTCCACACATCCAGAGATAAGAGCATTATATGAAACAATATCTTTCAAGCCCATCTCACTAAACTGCCTAAAAGCATCACATAAGTTTCCATACTTGGTGTATAAGGAAATTATTGTGTTTCCAACAGTTAAGTCTAAGATGAAGCCTGCTTTAATCGTGTAACAATGTACACATCGGCCTCCATTAAGATCTCCAAATCTCCCACAACCCATCAGAATAAGCCCATTGGCCACTGGCGTCACCATTGCCATGTTTTCATTAACCAACATCTGCAAGAACACTTGTCCAGCTTCCTTTATCATTTCATTATCTATGTAGCCTCCAATCATAGCACTCCAGGTTACCTTGTTCTTTAAAGAGTCTGAATCGAAAACTCTTCTCGCGTAGATAATGCACTTGCTTTTGGCATATATATCCAAGATCCCCGTCTTAACAACTAAATCACTGCTAAAGCCCATTCGTATGCAATATCCATGAACCGATTTCCCTTCCCTCAAAGCACCAGCCCTTCCTAGTGCAGGAAACATCCCAACGATGGTGGATAAATTAGGGCTGAGTCCATCACTTCTACGCATATCCAAAAACAATCCAATAACATCAGTTAAACAGCAATGCAAAGAAAACCCAGAAATCAAGGCGTTCCAAGCAACGATATCTCTTTCTGGCATTTCGTCGAACACCTGTATTGCCATATCGAGTTCCCCACATTTCGCATAAAAATCGACCAGAGCAGTACACACATACAAATCAGCTGTAAAGTCGCTACATTTCACATGGCTATGTATCAACTTACCATCTTCGATTGCTCGCAGACCAGTACATGCTTTCAGGACAAACGGGTACGTATATTTCGTGGGTCTAACACAAGAATTCAGCATCTTGAAGTACAAATCCAAAGCTTTCTCCGAGAAACCATTAGATGCATAGGCTCTGATCATCACGTCCCACGCAATAGGATTGGTTCTTGGATGAGGAATTTCGTCGAACACATGGCGTGCGAGTTCCACTTGGTTGCATGACGCGTACAGACGCGTTAAATTGACGAGCACGGTAGAGGAACTCAGCGTAAGGGAGCGTTTGAGAAGATGTTGATGAATGATCTGCCCTAGGATCAGATTCCTTGTTCGAATACATGAATCAAGAAGTCTCAGCAACATTGGTGGAAATGGATTTAAGTTTTCAGACAACACGGGACTCTATATCTCAGGGCTGCATTGTATCATAACAAAAGTTGGGGGCTAGATTGTATCATAACAAAAGTTGGAGGGCTGAATTGTAAACAACCTATCCTTCGAGTTAATGTATATATAGTGAAAAACTTAAAATAGTTTTGCAAATTTTGTGACTTATTTAATACTTTCGAAATTAGTTTACTAGCTAGTTAACTCTATCTTAAAAATAGGTTCTTAAAGTTAGTAATATTCATTATTCACAAATTTGATTAAAAAACTTTAATCAAAAGAGTATTCACTTCAAATTCGATTTTCTCTTGTTTTTAGTCTTAAATTTATTGAGATATCCATCCGGATTCATAACAAAAGTTTTTTGGTTAAAAGAATTTTGCCGTGATTGATGAATGCAATTTTTTTTTAAGTAAACTTCTCATTATCTTTTTGTCGGATTTTTTGTTGTTGTGTTTATGTTTACACAAATTCATTGTGAGTGAAACGAATTTACAAAATTCATTTTGCTATACATTTGTGGTATTGATCATTTCAATAAATTATTAATGTTCTTAAGAAAATTTAGTTGTACCATCCAAATGAAAGAGACTCTTGTGACTATTTTCTTGCGTCATAATACTATGTTATCACCCGAGACATATTCCTTTATCACAGTTTGATTACTACACTACAAACAAAGGTAGGATATTTGATTATCAACAACATCAATCCTTAGTTTTAACGTTTAAGCTACCAATAAAAGCAAGAAGAAAGATAATTTTCATTTCTGTTCAATTTACCAAAGATAACAAACAAACAAAAAATGTATATTACAAATGGTATCATGAGTACATTACAGCTTAAATTGTATACCATCGTTTAGAAACGTCGTTTTAGATTGAATTTTCAAAGTCTTTTCGTGTTGTTACATTCTTTGAAATTCGGTAATCGAGAATCATAAATTTAG